ATCCATGTGAAAATCTAGTGGTATACTTTCCATGACATATAACACATATTTAATTCCTTAAATTGATGACCTAGAACTACGCGAATGACTTATACACCCGGACGGAGGGAGTACTGTTTTGGCTTGGTAAATATTGCTAGATGTCTCGTGATCAGCACACGGAGAGTGACATGGTGATCAGCACACGGAGAGTGACAGTTGGGTATATATATGCAGGCTACCAAATTGATTGGATATAGCGGGAGGCTTAATTATTTACTTTGGCAGGCAGGCAGCAGTTCCTAATCTACGAGGGCCGGTCCGCCTGTCACGAAAATAGCTGTTCTAGCTGCCTGGATTTGGTTTCTTCCGGCTGTTTGTGCGTCCGCCCCGTGATTCCTCATATTCTAGATACTTTCAGTAGTTCACACTGTCAGTTGCTTAATGCTTAGGACTGACGATGATGCCAAGCCAAAGACTATCCATCTATCCGCAAGAGATTACTCATGATCGAAACCACTTTGGTTTTCGACTGGAAGAGTCCTGCCATCACCATCAACGGAAAAGTATTACTTCCTTCATTCCATAGTGTTGTCCGTATAGATTTTCTGAAAAGTCAAACTTTATAAGCTTTGACAAAATTTATATAAAAAACTATTTATATCTGCACCACCAGATATATAAAATATGAATTCTACATCTTATGATTAATTTAATGATATATTTTTGGCATTCTAGTTGTAAATGTTTTCATGCACAAACTTAGTTAAAGTTTGAGAGGTTTAACTTTTTGAAAAAAAAATCTATATGCACTGTATTGTGAAACGGAAGGAGTATGTGCGTGTGGGCAGTTTTGTTCCCGGGAGGTCGATGTCACGGACACGGGGCACACGGACTAGTCAAACTCATAGTCATAGGTCATACATCTCCAATCAAGCACTCAGTCGACCAATAATTAACCAAGTGTCATGTGAACACGCGATACGCAATCCCTGGGGACCCGCTGCATTGTCACGTTTCTGGGCCAGAGCTTGGGTGTCCATGGCACGGCACGGCACGGCACGGAGACGCAGAGCCATGGTGCCGTTCTCGCGGTGGGAAACCAGCGAGCGAACGAGTTCTTTTTTTTTTAGAATCTCGCAAAGCTTTATTACTGAATAAGAATGTTCATGGGTACAAAGACAAGGTCGCCGGGCTGGCCGAGCCAGGTGTGACGGCCAAAACCTAAAGATAAAGCATACTTTGCGAGATTATAAGCCTCCGTATTGGAGGTCCTATACTCATGACTAAACGAACATGAAATAAAAGTAGCAGCTCTAGCCTTGATCTCCTGGACAATAGCACCAAAATTTGCTAGGCTTCCTTCCCTGATCGCATCAATCGCCACCTTGCAATCCAAGGCCACCATAATTTGGTTAAGATAGAGATCCTCTGAGAGTGCTAAAGCCTCCCGAATGGCTAGTGATTCGAGCACCTTGAGGGAGCTGGTTGAGAGCGGAGTGAGATCCCTTGGACCGGATTTGATCCCCGCCAATTGAGCCAAGGTCGTTTTGCTTCGCATGTAGTCTATGTTGAAAGACTTATATTTAGGATCGGAGGTAGCACGTAGTAGTAACGGATTTCCCCTTCGTACTAAGCACACAGACATAGACCCACCCATCCATGG